TCCCAGGCTGTATTTAAATGAACCTCTTTAGCTCAGCTTCTGTTCTGAGGGGAGGAGAGGAGAGGGGGAGCGACCCAACAATGATTTTGAGTGATGCGGTCATGTGTGATTCAAAAACATTGGCACGTCGCAACCTACAAGTGTGATCACTACGGACACACACAGACACACACATACACAGTCACACACACACACACACACACACACACACAGACACACACACACACACACACACACAGACACACAGACACACACACAGAGACACACACAGACACACAGACACAGCAGCTTCCAATCACAGTAATGTCCAGAGGGCCTGGTTGCTGACAGTGTCTGTGAGGAGAGGTTGTTTTGGGTGTTTATTTAGCTAATAGGAATATGTTGACACTGTGAGCAGAGCAGACCCTAGCTATGGGGAAATGCACTGCAAAGCACTACAGATGTAGAATCTTAATTTGATCACTATTTTGTTATGCAGGAAATGTTGTGCAGTATGAAAAATGTATGCACTCACTAACTGTAAGTCACTCTGGATAAGAGCGTCTGCTAAATGAATAAACATTAAAAATGTAAAAATGAAATGCAAACTTGTAGCATATTCGAAGTCTAAAGTTTGTAATTTTCACTTTAAAATGTCAGACTTGATTTGCCCTAATGAATAATTTAGCAAGCCCTACAAAAAATGCCCATTCATTATAATCCACATAATAATTCACATTTCCTGTTGCTGCAGAATAATTTTCCTGCTGTAGCAAACTGGCTCAAATTAATATCCTACATCTGTACCCAGGGTACTGTAGCACACACCAGAATAAAGCTCCCATTACACTCAACCACCATCTATTTCTATAGACTGAACTGGCTGCTTGATCGTCTGATTGTCTAATAGGAATTGACTAGGGGATGTAAACATATTGATATTCAATGTCTGTGACCTTCACCCTTTAAGTGGAATGACGGTCACTGCCGAGTTCCCAAAAACCAGATGTTCCGGTTTTCAGGGGAAATGGAAAGAGAGCCTGTGACGCGACTTCTACTTTTGGACGTTAACAAGGTCGACACTCAAATCAAATTGATTGGTCACACGGGCCGAATACAGATGTAGACCTTACCGTAAAATGCTTACTTGCAAGCCCTTAACCAACAATGCAGAATTTTTTAAAGAAATTATTTGCTAAAAATGTCTATAAATAAATACAAACTAAAGTAAGAAAAAAAGTAACACAATACTTAGTCAAGATAAGTTGAGGTATTATGTATATGTAGATAAGGGTAAAGTGACTATGCATAGAAAATAAAGGAGAAGCAGCGTATAGAAAAAGGGGTCAATGCATATAGTAGCCATTTGATTAACTGTTTAGCAGTCTAATGGCTTGGGGGGATAGGCGTTGTTGTGCCCTCTTCACGACTGTCATGGTGTGTTTTGGACCATGATAGTTTGTTAGTGATGTGAACGACAAGGAACATGAAGCTCTCGACCCACTCCACTACAGCCCCGTCGATGTGAACGGGGACGTGCTTGGCCCTCCTTTTCCTGTAGTCCATGATCAGCTCCTTTGTCTTGCTGACGTTGAGGGAGAGGTTGTTGTCCTGGCACCACACTGCCAGGTCTCTGACCTCCTCCCTGTAGGCTGTTTCATCGTTGTCGGTGATTACAAACTTAATGATGGTGTTGGAGTCGGGCCAGGCGGTCGTGGGTGAAGGAGGACACTAAGCGCGCACCCCTGAGGGGCCCCCGTGTTGAGGATCAGCGTGGCGGATGTGTTGTTGCCTACCCTTACCACCTGGGGGCGGCCCGTCAGGAAATCCAGGATCCAGTTGCAGAGGGAGGTGTTTAGTCCCAGGGTCCTTAGCTTAGTGATGAGCTTTGTGGGCACTATGGTGTTGAACGCTGAGCTGTAGTCAATGAACAGCATTCTAACGTAGGTGTTCCTTTTGTCCAGGTGGGAAAGGGCAGTGTGCAATGGAGATTGCGTCATCTGTGGATCTGTTGGGGCGGTATGCGAATTGTAGTGTATCTAGGGTTTCTGGGATGATGGTGTTGATGTGAGCCGTGACCAGCCTTTCAAAGCACTTCATGGCTACCGACATGAGTGCTACGGGGCGGTAGTCATTTAGGCAGGTTGCATACTTATTTCCCTCATTAAAATGCAAATCAATTTATAACATTTTTGACATGCGTTTTTCTGGATTTTTTTTGGTTGTTATTCTGTCTCTCACTGTTCAAATAAACCTACCATTAAAATTATAGACTGATCGTGTCTTTGTCAGTACAAAATCAGCAGGGGATCAAATACTATTTTCCCTCACTGTATAGACAGTCCAGTATCATGTGACTAGGGTCTTCACTCTATCTAAATTAATGCAGAGGTGTGTCAGTCCCTTTGTCCATTTATCTTTACAGTCTTTAAGGTCTTCATCTCACCCTCAGCTCCGATGGACACCAGCTTGACTCCTTTACTGGTGATGTAGTGGAGAGCTTTGTTGACGTTGGAGATCTTGTGGACTCTCATCTTCCCTCTCTCTGGTTTGGCCAAGCGTTCGCCTGGACAGGAAACAGAAGGGGTCAGGGGTTAAGGGTCAGAAGGGGTCAGGTAAACATCACCTCTTATCATTTACCTTATATAAAATATCTACAGGTGCAGTATCTTAATTTGATCATCCTGTTGTTGTAAGATGATCACAGCAGGAAATGCAAACGTGTAGTGTATTCAAGATTTAAAGGCCCACTGCAGTTAAAAACATGATACTTCCACACTGAGGCCAAAATAACACTGAAATTGTGAATATCATGACAATGCCCTTTTTGTGTAATGTCAGGTGGGTTGGTGTTTTTGGCCCGGCGCATAACGCCACCCGGCGGTCTGATTGTAATAGACCAATGACAGTTCATCTTTGATTTGAATATCTCCTCCTACTGCTGCCGGTACTGCCTGGTCAAATTGGTACCAGTGTTGACAACTTAACAACTTTGTCGCTATATTTAGCGAGTTCTCAGAACCCTCCAGCTACTTTTATTGGTAAAAGATTCTAGCGACAAATTCAGCTACTTTTCAGAATGCCTTTGGGGAGTTGACACCGAGGGGTTTTTATGGAAGTTCAGAAATCAAATCCGACAAAAGTGAAGAGGAAGAGCCTGCGTTGGGAGCGGACGCTCTGTGTCACGCGCCTCGGGAAAAAGAGCTGTGTCTAGCTTTGCTCTCCGGAGCAGAGCACCGCTGAAGGGAGTGATTACTAGGATAGCTTTGAGTGTGGAGATGGATCAACTGAAGTTGAAAATCCCTGGTGTCTGTGATGCACGCCATTTGGTGAGACGCAGATCCGATGCCGAGCACGAGACTGAGAAGACCCTGTCTATACTTTTCAGTTTTGATATTGAGTGTTTGCCTGATAAAGTCATGCTAGGATATGTTAGTTATCCCGTGAGAGCGTTTGTTCCAAACCCGCTACAGTGTTTTAGGTGCCAAGGTTATGGTCCATGTCGCAATAGTGTGCAGGAGGGAATTCCGAGGTGTGAGAAGTGTGCAGGAGGGCATGGGACAAAGGAGTGTGTAGTTTTGGAGGAAAAAGTAAAAGTAGTCTGTTGCAATTGTGGGGGGGGTTCATGTTGCTGGGGATCAGAAATGTCCTTTGCGAGTGAGACAGGTTAAGGTTGCCATGGTTTCGAGCAGTGCAGAAAGAGACACATGCTGAGGCAGTGAGGGAAGTAGAGGAGGATGGGCAGGAGACTGAGTGACCCGAACGGTCTGTGTTTTAGCAAGGTTGGTTTCTTGGCTAATTTACTGCACAGAGGGAAAAGGCGGCGCAGATTATAAAAGTAGAAAAGTGATTGGGAGTGAAAGATCGGCAGAAGTGTTACAGGAGGTATTGAAAGAAGGAGTCCCGTCCTCCCAGGCCGGTTGCCAGGAATAGGAAGGAGTCCCGTCCTCCCAGGCCGGTTGCCAGGAGTAGGAGGAGTCCCGTCCTCCCAGGCCGGTTGCCAGGAGTAGGAAGGAGTCCCGTCCTCCCAGGCCGGTTGCCAGGAGTAGGAAGGAGTCCCGTCCTCCAGGCCGGTTGCCAGGAGTAGGAAGGAGTCCCGTCCTCCCAGGCCGGTTGCCAGGAGTAGGAAGGAGTTCCGTCCTCCCAGGCCGGTGCCAGTGAGTAGGAAGGAGTCCCGTCTCCTCCAGGCCGTGTTGCCAGGAGTAGGAAGGAGTCCCGTCCTCCAGGCCGGTTGCCAGGAGTAGGAAGGAGTCCCGTTCCTCCCAGGCCGGTTGCCAGGGAGTAGGAAGGAGTTCTGTCCGTCCTCTCAGGCCGGTTTGCCAGGAGTAGGAATGGAGTCCCGTCCTCTCAGGCCGGTTGCCAGGAGTAGGAAGGAGTCACGTCCTCCCAGGCCGGTTGCCAGGAATAGGAACAATTAGGAAAAAGTTGTGGAATAAGGGGGAAGGGGTTTGGTTTTATAGGCGCAGGGTAAGGGGGTGGTGCAAATTGTATTTTTCCCTTCTTTTTTTTTTTCTTTTTTTTTTTTTACAAATGTGGAATTCACATTCTGTCACGCCCTGACTCAGGGGACTCATATGTTGAGTCAGGGTGTGTATATTCTATGTTGTGTATTTTCTAGATGTGTTATCTAGTATGTGTATTTCTATGTTGGCCGGTGTGGTTCCCAATCAGAGACAGCTGTCGCTCGTTGTCTCTGATTGGGGATCATACTTAGGCAGCCTATTGGCACTAGGTAGTTCTTTTTTCCGTGTTGGAGGCTTGTATTGTTTGTTAGCCGTAGGACTTCACGTTTCGTTTGTTTATTGTTTTGTCGTGTGTTTATCAGTTGAATAAACATGTGTGCATATCACGCTGCGCCTTGGTCTGACCTGTCCTTGAACGAACGAGACAGAAGATCCCACCAAACACGGACCAAGCAGCGTGCCCAGGAGGACCGAACACCCTGGACACAGGTGGGGAAGATTTGGTCATGGGAGGAGATATTTGCGGGGAAAAGGACCCTGGGCGAAGAAGGAAGCCCAGGCAGGAGAGGAGCAACGGCAACACGGAAGCCGGCCGAGGAGGAAGCCCGAGAAGCAGCCCCAATAATTTTTTTGGGGGGGGCTAAAGGGGTGGTCGGGGAGCGAGAGAGAAGAGCCCCGACCACTGCACCCGGTTGGTTTCCAGATTGGGTCCCTACGACCATGGGAAGAGGAGTGGGAACAAAATTATACTGAGGAGTCGGAGGATGACGACGACGAGTTTCTGTTCCCTAACTCGTGGGGTCTCCCGGAGGAGTCCTCACTGGAGGAGGAGTGCCGGGTAAGCGAGGAGGAGGAGGCCACCATATTACGGGGGCTGTTAGATAGAATAGAGCGGGAGAGATCCATTCAGGAGGAGGCACTGCAGGAGGCGCGTAGGGAGAAAGAGGAAGTAGAGGCACGGTGAGAGGAGCTGGTTAGGCAGCATCAGGAGCAGGGGTTAATAAAGGAACCCAGTCCTGCTCCTCGCACCAAGCCAGTGGTGCGTGTTCCCAGTCCGGCCCGGGTCGTTCCTGCTCCTCGCACCAAGCCAGTGGTGCGTGTTCCCAGTCCGGCCCGGGTCGTTCCTGCTCCTCGCACCAAGCCAGTGGTGCGTGTTCCCAGTCCGGCCCGTTCCTGTTCCTCGCTCCAAGGCAATGGTGCGTGTCGCCAGTCCGGCCCGGCCCGTTCCTGTTCCTCGCACCAAGCTAGTGGTGCCTGTTCCCAGTCCGGTACGGCCCGTGCCTGCTCCCCGCACCAAGCCAGTGATGTGTGTGTCCAGTCCGGCACGGCCCGTGCCCGTTCCACATTCCGAACTGAGAAAGCCAGCAATACGCAAAAATGTGTTTAGACTGCCGGAAATTGACACGAAGAAGATTATTGATACTCCTCATATTGACATGCACAACTAGGTATCTAGTTGTGCACGGCCAAAACCAAGAGATATTGTGCAGTAGCTGTTTCTTTGCAGTCTTCCATCAGAACAATCACTTTGTTTGATTTGGAACGTTGCACAGCACACTTCGACAAGGTAGCTACTGTAGCTACACAAGCCAGTGGATTTTGCAGCTTTCGTCCTCCATCTTGCATCCGGCAGCGGCAGCCAGCAGCAACCTTTTCAAGAAGTAAGTCTCCAAATAGTTTTTCTTCTAGCTAGCCATTGTTATTAAAAGCTAGCTCTGACGAAGGCCTTGAGGCCGAAACGTGAAGCTTAATAAAGAACAGCAACGTTTGTACTTTTTTCTTATGTTATTCAATTATTACAACGAACAAAAGATAGCTCAGATGTGTGAGTACCATTTGATGATTAAAAGTAAAAGATACGATATTGTGGTGATGCTGGTAGCTTCTGACCTGACGTGACATTTATATTTACAGGAGCTATAACTATTACTACTAACTATTTACCTGTAGTTAGCTACATGAAAAGTTATGTCAGAATCATAAAGGGGAAACGCTGCCCTGGGGCCTAGGCAGACGTTGCCTCCCACAATAGAGTACCACAGCATGAGTCATAATACCCATAAAACCTAGCGGTCAAACAGGGAAATGGTTCCAATCATTTTTCCACCATTCATTTTTCCCATAGGGGATTTTACAAACACAAGTGGTTCCGATGTATTGCAGCTCATATTCTGTTTGTCTGACCCATTTCTTTCTGCAGACAAGCTCCCAAACCCATTCAGGATGGGGTTCCCTTGGCATCTTGGAACTGGTGGATGCGAAGGACTACGCAGGCTGCAGCACCATTCTGTTCCTACGGCCCAGATAGCCCCAGCACCAACTGACAAAACTCCTATAGGCCAGATACCTGTAGTGAATACCAATGTCTTCTATTGGTCATACAGCCAATAGAAGAGAGAAGTGGCTGGAGAGAAGTGGCTTCCTCGCTGCCCTTCTTGACACCAGAGTGTGCAAAGCTGTCATCAAGGCAAATGGTGGCTTTTTGAAGAATCTCAAATATGAAATATATTTTGATTTGTTTAACCCTTTTTTGGTTACTACATGATTCCATATGTGTTATTTCATAGTTTTGATATATGTAGAAAATAGTAAAAATAAAGAAAAACCCTTGAATGAGTAGGTGTGTCGAAACTTTTGACAGGTAGTGTACATGTATGCCTTTGGTTTTGATGACAAAACATGTGGGCACCATTAAAGATACATCATGTGGGCACCATTATAGATACATCATGTGGGCACCATTATAGATACATCATGTGGGCACCATTATAGATACATCATGTAGGCACCATTATAGATACATCATGTAGGCACCATTATAGATACATCATGTGGTCACCATTATAGATACATCATGTGGGCACCATTATAGATACATCATGTGGGCACCATTATAGATACATCATGTAGGCACCATTATAGATACATCATGTGGGCACCATTATAGATACATCATGTAGGCACCATTATAGATACATCATGTGGGCACCATTATAGATACATCATGTGGGCACCATTATAGATACATCATGTGGGCACCATTATAGATACATCATGTAGGCACCAGGCCACTCCTCCTCACCTGATATGACCTCCAGCAGCAGCATGAGTTTCAGTCCGTCCCTGAAGTCCTCCTCGATGTTCTCGATCTGCGTTCCGGCTTTCCTTAGGTGGGAGTTACACCAGGCCGTGAACGTCTGGGGAGGAGAGGAGACATGAGTTAGTTACCATGGTGTTAGTTACCTAACCCTAACCCAGATGGGATGGTGGGAGTCTGTGAACGTCATGAGTTAGTTACCATGGTGTTAGTTACCATGGTGTCCAGACAGGCACAGTGCGTAGAGTAAAGTAGAAAATACAACAGTATAGAAACAGAGTAGAGTAGAACAGAACAGTGAGCCGTCTGTGTGTTGTAGTTGAGCTGCAGCATCAGGTCCAGAGGATTCCCAGGCATGGTTGGCATGTTACTAACATAACTACCTGATGTTGGGAAACATCTGGGCTGGGCTGGGCTGGGCTGGGGCCCTCCCTCCCTCTAACCCTTGCATCCAACCTTCCCTCCCTCTCCTCTTAAAGACAGAAAGAAGAATAGAGAGAAGGAAGGATCCTCACCCTCCCAGTTTTTCCCCTCCTATCCCTTCTATCCACTCCCTCTCTACCTCCTCCTCCCCACTCCATCCCCCTCCCTCCCTCCCTCCTTCCCTCCCTCCCTCGCCTACAACAGCCGTCAGCTCGACCCCACGAACGACCTAACGGGAGCTGGCATGAGCACCGGGCCCGCCATAACACTGTGCACCCTGCTGAGAGCCAGCTCTGTATGAGAAGCTGGGTTAATTACACACAGGACCCAACTGCTGGCAGGCAGACACACACCACTACTAGATCAATCTGCAGTATGGAGCAGAGCAGACACACCCAAGCCTTATGGAAAGCCAGCCTGTTTCATGTGTTCCATAGAAGAGGAAAAGCCACTTGAAAGGAAGGAAGGCTACTAGCCATGACCAGGCCAGTGACATACTACAGAGACTGTCTGTAGCCTGTGCCTTCATCAAGCTGACACAGCTTCTCTAAGAGAGAGATGAGAGGAGAGAGAGATGAGACGAGAGGAGAGCAGAGAGAGAGAGAAGAGCCAGAGAGAGAGCAGAGAGAGAGAGAGAAGAGAGAGACGATAGAGAGAGAGAGATCCGCGTATAGTCGCTCTCTCTCTCTCTCGCTCTCTCTCTGCTCATCTCTCTTCTCTCCTCTATCTACCTATATCCCTCTCTCTCCCTCTCTATCTCTCTCCGCTCGATCTCTTCTCTTCAATTTTACAGGGCTTTATCTGGGCAGGGAAACATATGTTAACCATTACCAAAGCAAGTGAAGTAGATAGTAAACAAATTGAAATAATCAATAAATATAAACAGTACACTGTTTTGCACCCTAGTAGATAAGGGAGTTTATCAAAATTGGGTTTGTTTTCGAATTCTTTGTGGATCTGTTGTAATCTGAGGGAAAATATGTGTCTCAAATATGGTCATACATTTGGCAGGAGGTTAGGAAGTGCAGCTTCCAGGACCAGCTTGCTTAGGGGACTCTTCTCCAGGTTAATCTCTCTGTAGGTGATGGCTTTGTTATGGACGGTTTGGGAATCGCTTCCTTCTAGGTGGTTGTAGAATTGAACGGCTCTTTTCTGGATTTTGATAATTAGTGGGTATCGGCCTAATTCTGCTCTGCATGCATTATTTGGTGTTTTTCGTTGTACACTGAGGATATTTTTGCAGAATTCTGCATGCAGAGTCTCAATTTGGTGTTTGTCCCATTTTGTGAATTCTTGGTTGGTGAGCAGACCCCAGACCTCACAACCATAAAGGGCAATGGGTTCTATTAACTGATTCAAGTATTTTTAGCCAGATCCTAATTGGTATGTCAAATTTTATGTTCCTATTGATGGCATAGAAGGCCCTTCTTGCCTTGTCTCTCAGATCGTTCACAGCTTTGTGGAAGTTACCTGTGGCGCTGATGTTTAGGCCGAGGTACGTATCGTTTTTTGTGTGCTCTAGGGCAACGGTGTCTAGATGGAATTTGTATTTGTGGTCCTGGCAACTGGACCTTTTTTGGAACACCATTATTTTTGTCTTACTGAGATTTACTGTCAGGGCCCAGGTCGATCTAGGTGCTGCTGTAGGCCTTCCTTGGTTGGTGACAGAAGCACCAGATCATCAGCAAACAGTAGACATTTGACTTCAGATTCTAGTAGGGTGAGGCCGGGTGCTGCAGACTGTTCTAGTGCCCTCGCCAATTCGTTGATATATATGTTGAAGAGGGTGGGGCTTAAACTGCATCCCTGTCTCACCCCACAGCCCTGTGGAAAGAAATGTGTGTTTTTTTGCCAATTTTAACCGCACACTTGTTGTTTGTGTACATGAATTTTATGATGTCGTATGTTTTTCCCCCAACCCCACTTTCCATCAATTTGTATAGCAGAACCTCATGCCAAATTGAGTCAAAAGCTTTTTTTAAATCAACAAAGCATGAGAAGACTTTGCCTTTGTTTTGTTTTGATTGTTTGTCAATTAGGGTGTATACGTGGTCTGTCGTACGGTAATTTGGTAAAAAGCCAATTTAACATTTGCTCAGTACATTGTTTTCACTGAGGAAATGAACTAGTCTGCTGTTAATGATAATGCAGAGGATTTTCCCAAGGTGCTGTTAACGCATATCCCACGGTAGGTATTGGGGCCAAATTTGTCTCCACTTTTGTGGATTGGGGTGATCAGTCCAATCTTTTTTTGCTGTTTGTTCTTTGTTATAGGGCCAAAAAGATTGGAGAAGTGGTTTGTCCATACATCTCCGTTTTGGATAGATAGCTCTTCGTGTTGTTGTTTGTTTAGTGTTTTCCAATTTTCCCAGAAGTGGTTAGAGTCTATGGATTCTTCAATTACATTGAGCTGATTTCTGACATGCTGTTCCTTCTTTTTCCGTAGTGTATTTCTGTATTTTTTAGTGATTCACCATAGTGAAGGTGTAGGCTCAGGTTTTCTGGGTCTCTATGTTTTTGGTTGGATAGGTTTCTCAATTTCTTTCTTAGGTTTTTGCATTCTTCATCAAACCATTTGTCACTGTTGTTACTTTTCTTCGGTTTTCTGTTCGAGATTTTTTAGATTTGATAGGGAAGCTGAGAGGTCAAATATACTGTTTAGGTTTTCTACTGCCAAGTTTACACCTTCACTATTACAGTGGAACGTTTTGTCCAGGAAGTTGTCTAAAAGGGATTGAATTTGTTTTTGCCTAATTGTTTTTTGGTAGGTTTCGACACTACTTTCCTTCCATCTATAGCATTTCTTAATATTATTCAGTTCCTTTGGCTTTGATGCCTCATGATTGAGTATTGCTCTGTTCAAGTAGACTGTGATTTTGCTGTGGTTTGATAGGGGTGTCAGTGGGCTGACTGTGAACGCTCTGAGAGACTCTGGGTTGAGGTCAGTGATAAAGTAGTCTACAGTACTACTGCCAAGAGATGAGCTATAGGAAAAAAGATTGGCATGGGTCCTCAGATCCTCAAAAAATTCTACAGCTGCACCATCGAGAGCATCCTGACTGGTTGCATCACCGCCTGGTATGGCAACTGCTTGGCCTCCGACCGCAAGGCACTACAGAGGGTAGTGCGTACGGCCCAGTACATCACTGGGGCAAAGCTTCCTGCCATCCAGGACCTCTATACCAGGCGGTGTCAGAGGAAGGCCCTCAAAATTGTCAAAGACTCCAGCCTCCCCGCACGGCAAGCGGTACCGGAGTGCCAAGTCTAGGTCCAAAAGACTTCTCAACAGCTTCTACCCCAAGCCATAAGACTCCTGAACAGCTAATCATGGCTACCCGGACTATTTGCACTGCCCCCCCACCCCATCCTTTTTACGCTGCTGCTACTCTGTTAAGTATTTATGCATAGTCACTTAACTCTACCCACATGTACATATTACCTCAACTACCTCAACTAGCCGGTGCCCCCGCACATTGACTCTGCAACGGTACCCCCCTGTATATATAGCCTCCCTACTGTCACTTTATTTACTTCTGCTCTTTTTTTCTCAACACTTTTTTTGTTGTTGTTTTATTCTTACTTTTTTTGTTTAAAATAAATGCACTGTTGGTTAAGGGCTGTAAGTAAGCATTTCACTGTAATATCTGCACCTGTTGTATTCGGCGCATGTGACCAATAAAATTTGATTTGATTTGATTTGATTTAGGTGTACCTAACATAGGAGTCCCCTCGAAGCCTACCATTGACTATGTACAGACCCAGTGTGCGACAGAGCTGCAGGAGTTGTGACCCGTTTTTGTTGGTTATGTTGTCGTAGTTGTGCCTAGGGGGGCATATGGGGGAGGGAATGCTGTCACCTCCAGGTAGGTGTTTGTCCCCCTGTGTGCTGAGGGTGTCAGGTTCTTGTCCAGTTCTGGCATTTAGGTCGCCACAGACTAGTACATGTCCCTGGGTCTAGAAATGGTTGATTTCCCCCTCCAGGATGGAGAAGCTGTCTTCATTAAAGTATGGGGATTCTAGTGGGGGGATATAGGTAACACAAAGGAGGACATTTTTCTCTGTTGAGATAATTTCCTTTTTTAAATTTCTAGCCAAATGTAAAATGTTCCTGTTTTGATTAATTTAATAGAGTGAGTTAGGTCTGCTCTATTAGCATACCCCCTGTCTCTCTCTGTATCTCCCTCTCTGTCTCTCTACCCTCTCTAACCCCCCACCAAACCCCCCCCCCCCCCCGTCTCTCTCAGTCTCTCCCTCTCCCCCTCTGTCCCTCTCGTCCTCTGTCCCGCTCCCCTGTCTCTCTCCGTCTCTCTCTTCCTCCCCCTATGTCCCCCTCCCGCTGTCTCACTCCCCCCTCTGTCTCTCTCCGTCTCTCTCTCTCTCCCTCTCCCCCTCTGTAGGTCACTCAGGCCATTTGGCAGCAGCAACAGCCAACAAACCAGGCCTGGCCTGGCAGCCATCCTCCGTTCACATGACTGAGTGTTGTGGTCAGCGTTCTCCTGGCCTGACGGTGCAGTCGGTGCAAAGGGCCATCCAGCTGGGCTGATTGAGGCCTTATTCTCCACGGGCAGCAGAGAGGAGTAAGTAAGTAATAATATGTAGTCAGTGTAGCAGAAGGCACAACATACACTCTTAGAAAAAAGGGTTCTTTGAGGTTCTATATTTTACATTACATTTTAGTCATTTAGCAGACGCTCTTATCCAGAGCGACTTACAGTTAGTGAGTGCATACAAAATAATTCCCCCGTGGGAAACGAAAACACAACCCTGGCGTTGCAAACGCCATGCTCTACCAACTGAGCTACACGGGACTAATATATATATATACTATATAGAACCTTTTGATTCTTTGGACGAGATTAAAGAATCCATTACTAAAAAAGGTTCTATATATATATATACCCAGTGAAGGCAAAGAACCTTGAGGGTTCTATCCCAACCCCAGAGTGTAATGGGGATTTTAGAAAACAAACGCTAACTATGAAATGACAGATGACTAGCTCCCTTTTCATTTGTTTCAGCTGTTTTGCATTGACATCTATATCCATATTAATGATGCTGCTGCATGATTTCGCCTGGTCAGAAAAATGCCTAGCTGATTTCCGACAACGTTAACTCTACTATATCGGGGGAAGATCGAATTCATACACTGCTCAAAAAAATAAAGGGAACACTTAAACAACACAATGTAACTCCAAGTCAATCACACTTCTGTGAAAATCAAACTGTCCACTTAGGAAGCAACATTAATTTGACAATACATTTCACATGCTGTTGTGCAAATGGAATAGACAACAGGTGGAAATTATAGGCAATTAGCAAGACACCCCCAATAAAGGACTGTGACCACAGACCACTTCTCAGTTCCTATACTTCCTGGCTGATGTTTTGGTCACTTTTGAATGCTGGCGGTGCTTTCACTCTAGTGGTAGCATGAGACGGAGTCTACAACCCACACAAGTGGCTCAGGTAGTGCAGCTCATCCAGGATGGCACATCAATGCGAGCTGTGGCAAGAAGGTTTGCTGTGTCTGTCAGCGTAGTGTCCAGAGCATGGAGGCGCTACCAGGAGACAGGCCAGTACATCAGGAGACGTGGAGGAGGCCGTAGGAGGGCAACAACCCAGCAGCAGGACTGCTACCTCCGCCTTTGTGCAAGGAGGAGCAGGAGGAGCACTGCCAGAGCCCTGCAAAATGACCTCCAGCAGGCCACAAATGTGCATGTGTCTGCTCAAACGGTCAGAAACAGACTCCATGAGGGTGGTATGAGGGCCCGACGTCCACAGGTGGGGGTTGTGCTTACAGCCCAACACCGTGCAGGACGTTTGGCATTTGCCAGAGTACACCAAGATTGGCAAATTTGTGCTCGCCAGTGGTAGCCTGACTGCCATTAGGTACCGAGATGAGATCCTCAGACCCCTTGTGAGACCATATGCTGGTGCGGTTGTCCCTGGGTTCCTCCTAATGCAAGACAATGCTAGACCTCATGTGGCTGGAGTGTGTCAGCAGTTCCTGCAAGAGGAAGGCATTGATGCTATGGACTGGCCCGCCCGTTCCCCAGACCTGAATCCAATTGAGCACATCTGGGACATCATGTCTCGCTCCATCCACCAACGCCACGTTGCACCACAGACTGTCCAGGAGTAGTCCAGGTCTGGGAGGAGATCCCTCAGGAGACCATCCGCCACCTCATCAGGAGCATGCCCAGGCGTTGTAGGGAGGTCATACAGGTACGTGGAGGCCACACACACACTACTGAGCCTCATTTTGACTTGTTTTAAGGACATTAATTTTGAGGGTGACTCCAAATCCAGACCTCCATGGGTTGATACATTTGATTTCCATTGATAATTTTTGTGTGATTTTGCTGTCAGCACATTCAACTATGTAAAGAAAAAAGTATTTAAAAAGATTATTTAATTCATTCAGATCTAGGATGTGTTATTTTAGTGTTCCCTTTATTTTTTTGAGCAGTGTATTTTTAAACACTGTTGCCGAGGTCGGATATGCAAACAGACAAACCTGTGCTGTTGCAAATGAAATGCTAGCTAGAAGCAAGAGGAAATAATGTGTTAATAAAAGCATAGGGGTTCTATATATCAAAGGGGTTCTATATATCAAAGGGGTTCTATATATCAAAGGGGTTCTATATATCAAAGGGGTTCTATATAGAACCTTTTGGTCAATTAAAATGTTAATGGATGTCCAAATAGCCTACCAATAAGGCATGTTATTTTTCAATTTATTAATGTAAACAAAGTTGATTATTTTATTGAAATTTATGAAGCCAAAGTCAATAAATAAACTATAGGCTAGATAGATAGGTTGTATCAGATTTTGAGCACCGTTTGTAAGTAGGAAAAGGGTACTTTAATTAGCCACTTTACAAGCTAGCTAACTCTTTCAAATAAACATAAATGTTTGTCGTGGAATATGGCAAGAAGAGCGACAGACCTGCCATCAGCTCATTGTTACTATATTTCAGTGTGGAGTCAGATGAGGGGACTATGTTTCATGAAGCCATTAGAAGACTGTTGCTGACCTCTGTTGAGTAGAGCCCACAGTGGAGGTGTCATAATACCCATAAAACCTAGTGGTCAAACAAGGAAATGGTTCCAATCGTTTTTTGCGACCATTCAGTTTTCCCACAGGGGACTTTAGAAACACTTAAAATAAGGGCTGTGTTTCGTGTAGGCTTGCCCTGGTGTGACGTTTTGATAACCATGTAAATCTCTCTCAGACAAGGTGACTTTTATCAATATATTTCGGCTCGATTTACTCTCTGATTCTAAAATGCTAATTCTTAAGAGGTTATGATCAAAGAACGCTATAAAAAGGTTTCTATACTGAACAAAAATATAAAACGCAACATGTAAAGTGTTGGTCCCCATGTTTCATGAGCTGAGATAAAAGATCCCAGACATTTTCCATACGCACAAAAAGCATATTTCTCTCAAATGTTGTGCACAAATTTGTTTACATCCCTGTTAGTGAGCATTTCTCATTTGCCAAGATAATCCTTCCACCTGACAGGTGTGGCATATCAATAAGCTAATTAAACAGCATGATAATTACACAGGTGCACCTTGTGCTGGGGACAATAAAAGGCCACTCTAAAATGTGCAGTTTTGTCACACAACACAATGCCACAGACGTCTGAAGTTTTGAGGGAGCGTGCAATTGGCATGCTGACTGTAGGAATGTCCACCAGAGCTGTTGCCAGAGAATTGAATGTTCATTTCTCTACCATAAGTCACCTGCAATGTCATTTTAGAGAATTTGGCAGTACATCCAACCACCCTCACAACCGCAGACGTGTAATCACGCCAGCCCAGGACGTGTAATCACACCAGCCCAGGACCTCCACATCCGGCTTCTTCACCTGCGGGGTCGTCTGAGACCAGCCACCTGGACAGCTGATGAAACTGAGGAGTATTTCTGTCTGTAATAAAGCCCTTTTGTGGGGAAAGACTCACTCTGATTGGCTGGGCCTGGCTCCCCAGTGGGGTGGGCCTATGCCCTCCCAACCATGGCTGTGCCCCTGCCCAGTCATCTGAAATCTATAGATTAGGGCCTAATGAAGTTATTTCAATTGACTGATTTCCTTATATGAACTGTAACTCAGTAAAATCTTTGAAATTGTTGCACGTTGCGTTTATATTTTTGGTCAGTGTATATAGACATTTTAGGGGTTCTATATGTAACCTTTTTTTCTAAGAGTGTAGGAAATCATCTGATTCCTACAATACCCTAGTTTTAGAGTGTAGGAAAACATCTGGCACCAACGTTACCCTAGTTTTAGAGTGTAGGAAAACATCTGGCACCAACGTTACCCTAGTTTTAGAGTGATACAGCGCCCATGCCTGTTTCCACTACAACATCTAATATGTAACAGAGTACTGAGTACAGTACAGTACGAACATATTTCAATGGGAGGATCGAGGATGTCGAGGTCATACTGTATATATTTCATCTCCCCCACTCTTCCCCCCACCTCCCCTGTCTCAGTCTCTCAGAGCAGACACGAGGAGGAGGAGGAGGAGGAGGAGGAGGGGTCAAACTGGGGGGGGAATGCCCAAAGGGGCCCCTATTCACTAGTAGGCACTATTTTTGCCAGGGCCCGGACTCTGAAAGTGCCTACTGGGGAAATGGAGCCTTTGGAAACACGGGGGTCCTTGGCAAAAACTCCGGGAAAGATGGGGGCTAGCTCTGTCTTATTACAGTGTTTACAGTCTGTCTCTCTCTTTTACAGGTTTACAGCTGTTTAATTTTTACAGTGTTTTAAGTCTTTATTTATTAGGTATTCAGTCTGTCTCTCTCTTATACGGGTTTATTACAGTCGTTTGTATTTTACGTGATTCAGTCTGCCCCTTATTAGGTATCAGCGGTCTCTTTTTACAGTGTATTACGGGCGTCTCTCATTATTACAGTGTTTAAGTCTGTTCTTCATTTTACAGTGTTTAAGTTGTCTCTCTCTTTATTACTTTTATTACAGCGCTCTCTCTTTAAATACGTGTATTACAGTCTGTCTCTCTCTTTTTACAGTGTTACGTCTGTCTCTCCTTTTTACAGGGGAACTTTGTCTCTCTACATTTTAAGGTATTCAGTTGTCTCTCTCATTTTTTCCCGTGTTTTACACTGTCTCTTCTTATTCATGTTTACAGTCTGTCTCTCTTTTATTCGTGATACACCCCTTTTCATTAAAAAGTGTTTACAGTCTGTTCCTCTTTTCGTGTTACGGCTGTCTCTTCTTATTAAGTGTTTTACGTCTGCCATCATTTTTACGGTATTACAGTCGTTCTTCTTTTTAATGTTTTAAACCCGCGTCTCTCTCATTATTAATGTATTACAGTCTGTCATTTATTACAGTGTTTTAAATGTCTGTCTCTCTCATTTTACAGTGTATTACAGTCGTCTCTCTCATATTAAGTGTATTACATCTTCTCTCTCATTTTACGGTATTAATTGTCTTATCTTTATTACAGTGTTTACAGTCTTTCTTTTATTACAGGTTTACATCGGTCTCTCTCATTATTAAAGTGATTACAGTTGTCTCTATTT